GCAGTGGCAAAGCCTCCCCCATTTTCCATTGACTGTCCCAAGTCGGCTTTCTCCCGGAGTGCCTGCACTCACCTGGGCGGCGGCGGTCACGCTGGACAATTGACAAGCCCGCAACATCTCGGTCAACTGGACGGCACTGCTGGAATACGCGGGAGCTGTTGCGGCGGCGCGAGTAAAAGAAGGCGTGCGTGCGTGTGTGCGTGCCTACGTTCGGGCCGCCTTTCCGCGCCGGGCGCGCCGGAAGGACAGCCAGCTCCACTGCGCACGCGCAACCCCTTTTCTTTCTCCTCTACGCGAGGCCTTGGCGGCGGAAACGCAAACTCCAGACGATTCGTAAGAAGGCGGTGGGAAGGGCGGATTCTCCTTCCGGGTCGCGCCCTGGATGCCTGTTGGTTGCCTTTAGCCGAGGTTACTAGGTGAACAGGATTGGGAGGAGGTAGTTTGACGTTCTGAAGCGAAAAAAAGAATAAATAACTGTGACTCTTCGGAAAATTAAAGCGTGAAAAGCATATTAGCCATCTATGTGAGCTGGTTATTTCGTAGGAAGGAATCGATTTGGCCAAAGTTACGTAAACAATGGAGTTATCTCAGTTTGCGCGTTTGTTTCATTGCTCAGCCCTTCAGGGAATCATCCAGCTGGAGGGACCGATGTGCGGAACCTGTCAAGTGTGAGAGCAGGGATAGGAACTGGATACTTTGGGCTCCACAGCTTTCTCCAAATTAAACCACGCTGCTTTTTCCGCCAGGTTTTTATTTTTCAAAGATAATTTTGGCTGAGATTTGTGGGATGAGCTGGAAGACAAATCAATGCAGAAACACGTTCAAAGTATTCCACTTGGTCCAGTGGTTCTCAGCCTTCCTAATGCCACAATGTATTTTCATTGTTAAAAAGTGGTCGCGACCCCGCTGACTTAGGCTATCGTAAAAAAAAAAAAAAAAAAAAAACAGGTTAAATATTGGACATGGAGTTAATCCATGTGTACTCCAATTATCTAAAAATCAAATAATTACTTATGTTTGTGTATATTCTGTGCTTTTCAGGGTACTGTAGTGATGCATTAAATTCTATTTCATATCTCTATCATTTATCCTCCAGAGCAATCTCCTCATTTATATATTTGTTGAGACAGGGTGTCACTCTGTTGCTTGGACTAGTATGCAGTGGTGTCATCATAGCTCACTGCAACTCAAACTTTGGGCTCAAGTGATCCTCCTGCCTCGGCCTCCTAAAGTATTGGGATTACAGGCAGGAGAAATCACACCTGGCCTCCCATATTTTTCAGTAATTTTAGCAATTGAATTGTCTACCTTTCCATCTACCTGCCCTCATCCCTGCTCAGTGTTGTCATGCTGGGTGATGCTAGAATGATGACTGTTTTAACATTGTTGGCCTTGAACCTGTAAACACCAATGAATACTTTCATTCTGCTCTAACCTTGTGTGTTATAGGCCTTGGGCCTGAACATCGTGAGCAGCCTCTCCAGCTTTAAGATCTCAAATCTTGGTGGTACATGGTGGCTTATGCCTGTAATCGTAGGCAGGAGGATTCCTTGAGCCCAGGAGTTGAGGTTGCAGTGAGCTATGATGACACCACTGCAAACTAGCCCAGGTGACAGAATCTGGCCCTGTCTCAAAAAAAGTTGAACTTCAAACTTCCAAATTGGTTTCTATACTTTTCTAATTCCTTATTTAACCAAGTCTTTAATCCTCACCCTTTACATGCAGGTTATGAATATTTTTTAACTTATATTAAATCTTTTTTATAATTATTTTTTATTAAATTATAACTTTGTACATTGATGCATTTATGGCATTCAGGGTACTGCTTCGTTTTATAATGTGAAATGTTTACATTGAACAAAGTAACACATCCATCACAATTATACTCATTTCTTAATAGTTTTTAAATGTACCATTGCATCATGCCCATTAGGTGATGTCCCCCCATATACCGTCCCTTCTCCCAGATCCCCTCTCCCCACCCCTCTCTCTCCCCTCTTCCCTTCTACTTTATGGACTATAGTTATGTGTGATTATGTAGGTGAGTTATGAATATTTTTAGTTTAAAATATTATCAGGACTTTTCTAAAGTAACTCAGAAATTTAAATCACATCACTCCCCTGTTCAGAAACATGCAGTGACTCCCACTGCTACTTCAAAGAAATAGCAATATACCCTTCCAGCACATACATGTGAATGTTTTGGGACTGAAAGTAGCCACTGCCATAGGTGGGAGGTCAAGATGGCAACAATAGTGTTAAAAGCTCATAACCTGCTTCTATACCCTATATCTCAGAAACTGATGTATGACCATCATAGTTTCTTAAAGTATGATCCAGAGACCACATGGGGAACCTGAAGCCTTTCAGGGAGGGTCCTTAAAGTGAACTACTTTCATAATAACATTAAGATAGTATTTGTCTTTTTTCTTTCATTATCTCATAATTATATGGTAAAATTCACCAGAGGCTACCTGACATATGATATTGCAAGAAACTGAATGCAGAAGGAAATTTCAGAATCAAGGTTTTTTAAATGCTGAACCTTAAAAAGATTTGCAAAAAGGCAAAATAATGCCACTCTTTTTTGCTTGTTTGTTTTTGGGATATTTTTCACTGAAATATTTATGTTAACATGTAATGGGTTTATAATTGTTACTTTTAAACAATATGTGGTAGGCAGAATAATGATCCCTGGAAAATGTCCATATTCTCCTAATTTCTGAAACCTTTGAATGTGTTATATGCCAAGAAGGACTTTGTACATATGATTAAGTTAATCTCTCAAGGTGAAGAGACTTTTCTGTATTATTTGTGTGAGCCCAGTGTAATCACATGAGTAAAAAAGGAAGGCAAAAAGGACAGTAAGGAGATGAGCCAATAGACAGAAGCAGAGGTCACAGCGATGCAATTTGTAGTCTGAAGAAATAAGAAGGCTATGAGCCAAGGAATGCAGTGAACTTCTAGAAACTGGAAAATGGAAGGAAAAGGATTCTCCCCTAGAGAATCCTAGAAGGAACACTACTATTACGTACCCTGATTATAGCCCTCAAAACCCACTTTGGGCTTCTGATCTACAGAACTGTAAAATTTGTGTCATTTAAGACACTAAATTTGGGGTAATTTGTTATAGCAACAATAGGAAATGGATACAATAACTTTTTACACAATTTTAATTTCCCGTACAGTAAATACCAATATAAGTAAAAGCTCTTTGGGATCCTCGATAATTTTTTTTTTTTTTTTTGTAGAGTCTCACTTTATAACCTTCGGTAGAGTGCCATGGTGTCACACAGCTCATAGCAACCTCTAACTCCTGGGCCTAGGTGATTCTCTTGCTTCAGCCTCCTGGGTAGCTGAGACTACAGGTGCCCACCACAACGCCCAGCTATTTTATTGTTGCAGTTTGGCCAGGGTCAGGTTTGAACTTGCCACCCTTGGTATATGGGGCCGGTGCCCTACACACTGGGCCACAGGTACTGCCCAGATCTTCAATAATTATTAACAGTGTAAGTGGGATCTGAGGCCTAAACCTTTAAAAACCTTGGGTCTAAAAAAATCCCATGTCTTTCTGTCTTGGCTTCCTCTCTTTCACCTTAGCTCTTGGTGTTCTTAACTGCCTAAAATGCTCTTGCCTTTGTTAAAATCTTCCCCATTACTTAAGATCCATCTTATAATCTACCTCTGATCCCTCCAACCAGAGCCTCCTCTCTTTTTTTGTTACTGGTCCAGTGAATCATTTATCTGCCTTGTCTTTTTATTCTATACTTGTCTCCTTAATACATATGAACTCCTTGAGACAAGGTGTTTGACTCTTAAGCCATTCCAACCAGTAAGTAATATGTATATTGTATATCCATAGAATTTCTCTGGATTTTCCCTACAGAGATCTTAGACAATGGGATAGAACAGACAGTTTTGTTTTGTGGGGTTTTTTTCCTGTTGGAATGAACATCAGAAGGAATATGTATTATGACTAAGTGTCAAGAATAAAATAAGGAATGTAGAATTGTTCCGGGAGAGTTGAGATGCTGTTCTGCCTACCAAATGACAGTGTTGTTGATTTTTAAAAATATCCAGAGCGTGCCAAAAAAAAAATGTATCCGCCTCGGAGCCTGTAGCTCAACCGGCTAAGGCGCCAGCCATATACACCTAAGGTGGCAGGTTCGAATCCCCAGCCCGGGCCCGCCAAACAACAATGACGGCTGCAACCAAAAAAAAATAGCCGGGCGTTGTGGCGGGCGCCTGTGGTCCCAGCTACTTGGGAGGCTGAGGCAGGAGACTCGCTTGAGCCCAGGAGTTGGAGGTTGCTGTGAGCTATAATGCCACGGCACTCTACCCATGGGGACAGCTTGAGGCTCTGTCTCAACAACAACAACAAAAAAATGTATCCACGTTTTAAAAGAAAAAGCTATCCTTTTCATGCCTGGTAATGCTAGCATTCATTTGATTAACGCCATCTTGCCATCTTTTACACAGACGTCATATTACATACTGCTACTGTAATTCAGTTCAACTTTGAATAGTAATACAAAGGTAATATCTCTTAAAATGCGTGTACATTTTTTGGCTCCCCTAGTATATGTGTGTGTGTGTGTGTGATGTCCTTAGAATTGTTACATTCATTTGATTATAGTTGGCATGCAATCTTTTTCCAAAATGATTTCTGATATTACTATTTTTTTCATTAAATTATTATGTCTTCCAGTCTGAGTAGGTTAACAAATATTATTTTCTCAAATTAATAAAAAGAATAAAAAGAAACTGTTTCAGGTATGTTGTGTACTTTAAATCTTTCAATTACATGCGCAAAAAAATTGGGGCGAATCTGACTATGTCCTAGGTACTCTTCTATAGGCAATTGTTTCGGAGCAGCAAAGGACGGAACCTGGCCGATGGTATACCGTACATCCAATAAAAGTTGAGTTAACCGCTCCTTTGTTCTTTTCCCCTCCCTTGACTCCGCCCCTGATATTTTTCCTTTATTCACCCTCGCTCGGGTGTGTTTTAACCCAATGCGGCCGCCGTAGGCGCGGGATCAAGATGGCTCCCTCCGTTTTTCTTCGTGCTGTGAGAGCGGCTTCAGGTAAGTGGTGAGCAGAACGCTCCGTTTACATTTTTGCAGAAAGGGAAAGTGGCACACGATAGAATATTTAAACTAGAGATTAACAGGAGGGGAAAAGTTGTTATTTAAGGCCAGAGGGTTGCTCCAGATTTTCTGTGGGACAGTGCGACCGGCGATCCGCACCTGGGTCCCCATTCATACCCGCGTGCGCCTGGGTATCACACGTTTACCCTCTTTCATACCGGCTTCTCCTTCCCTAGAAAAGAAACCCAAGATTGGGGCAGAGGAGGGCAAAGGAGACCGGAAAAATCCCTCGTGACTTTCTAATTTAGAGGCTAGGACCCGGCATTCACGACCTTTGACCTTGAGAGTTATTTAATGCCTCTCAACTTTCGTGTCTACAGTTGTAGGTGGGGAATAATACCACTTAACTAGGCATTAGGAGAGTTTACTAGCGTAAAACGTCTTGTTTAGGGCCTGACACATAGCGTGAAGTTTGAGACTCAACGTGTGTAGCTATCATGGACTGGCTGATTTACAACCTCTGGCACTAGGACTGGCATAAGGATTTCTTGACCTGTTGGAAAAAGCTAGAATCATTCGAATACAATAGGATAATGAGGAAGGTACTTTCACACAAAGTAAATGAGGATAAAATTTTGCGAGGAAATAACTGGAAATAACAAGATAAAGAAGAAAAGAAAGCATGGATGTAAATTTTCGTGTTAGAAAAGATCTTTTATAGGTGGGGTATTTGTGTGTGTGTGATATGCATAATGAAGAAAATTTTATGCTATAACATGCATGAACGGTTAAACAGTTCTAAAGCAAGATGCCTGTCTTGACCCAGGTCAAGACATAGAGCACCTACATTTACCAGAAGCTCCTTAACTGTCCCCAAACATAAACAGTTCTAATTTTTATAATTACTGTGCTACATTTCCTGTTTTTCTTCTGGTAGTTTTAGTATCTCTATGTGCATCTCTTAATAATATTGTTTATAGTTTTGCCTGGTTTTGAACTTTAAGTGAATATAATCATACAATGTGTGTTCTTTAGTGTCTGGCTTGTTTTATTTTGTGAGATCTATTCATTTTGCATATAGTTGCAGTGATTTCATTGCTATATAATATTTATTTTGTGTGACTCTTCCACAACTCTCCACTCTACTGATGAGCATTTGGGTATTTCCAATTTGGGGGCAATTATGTGCAAAGCTGATTGATCTTATGTCTTGGTACATGAGTACAGTAGTGTGTGAAGGGGGTGTGTGTATGTGTGTGTGTGAAACCAGTTGATTGCCGGGTTAGAGTATGTATATATTCAGTATTGCCTGATAATTGCCTAACTGTTTTCCATAGTTATATGCTTACTCCGGCAGTGGAGGCTCCACATCCTCAGCAGCACTTGGTATTGTTAGACCTACACGTTTTTTTGTCAATCTGGTTGTTATGTAGTGGTAGCTCACTGAGGTTTAAATTAGTGTTTCTCTGATGTAACGAGCCTACTGTGTTTACACATGTGTATTTGACCTTTTGAATTTCTTTTATGAAATATCCGTTTATTTTGCCCATTTTTCTATTGGGTTGTTTGTCTTATTGATTGATGTTATGGTAGGCTGGTTCCAAACTCAAGCAGTCCACCCCGGTCAGCCACCCAGAGTTGTGCCACCATGCCTGGCTGGGCATGTTTGTTAACTAAATTTGACTGTTGGGTTTGATAGGCTAACTCACAAAGCCCCCTAAGTCATTTCCCCTTGACCTGTTTCCAGGTCATGTTCACCCTTCTTGTTCAGTAATCATTTTTTCTAACTTAAGTGTGTTTAGCCCTGATTTCATCTTGTTGGTTTTGATCTATTTTTCTTTCACTGAAATCACTGGAGGTTTTATTTTATTTTATTTGGTGAGACAATCTCACTTTGTTGCCCAGGCTAGAGTGCTCTGGCATCAGCCTAGCTCACAGCAACCTCAAACTCCTGGGTTCAAGCAATCCTCTTGCCTCAGCCTCCCTAGTAGCTGGGATTACAGGTGCCTGCCGTAACATCTGCCTAATTTTTCTATTTTTTTTGGTGGAGATGAAGTCTTGCTCTTGGCTCAGGCTGATCTTGAACTTCTGACCTCAAGCAGTCTTCTTGCCTTGGTCTCCCAGAGTGTTAGGATTACATGAGCCACCACACCCAGCCATTTGGAATTTTTATTTATTTATTTTGTTGTTGTTGTTGAGACAGAGTCCCACCCTATGCCCTGAGCAGAATGCAATGATGTCCTAGCTCACTGCAACCTCAGACTCAGGCTGTGGGCATCCTGCTGTCTCAGCCTCTGGAAGCCACTGAGATTACAAGCCTTGGTGGATTATATCTTTTCACAAATATGTTAACAAGCCAGTTGTTTCTTATGCAGACTGATAAACATGTTTTATAAAGCTTCAGGAACTTCATAAAAATTGAGAACAAAAGCTGGATGTGGAAAAAAAAAAAAAGGCTGGATGTGGTGGCAAGTGCCTGTAGTCCCAACTATTTAGGAGTTGCAAGAAGCTCCTTTGAACCAAGGATCTTGAGGCTACAGTGAGCTATGATTGTGCTCTCTAGCCTGAATGACAGAGTGAAACTTGTCTCTAAAAGTTAAATACTAAAAATAAAAAGTTGCAAACAGAGTCTATTAAGGGAGCCAAGTGAGTGGATTACTTGAGCTCAGGAGTTTGAGACCAGCCTGGGCAAGAGCAAGACCTTGTCTCTACTAAAAATAGAAAAATTAGGCAGGCATTGTGGTGGGTACCTATAGTCCCAGCTACTTGGGAGACTTAGGCAAGAGGATTGCTCAAGCCCAAGAGTTTGAGGTTTCTGTGAGTTATGATGCCATGGCATTCTGGCAACAGAGTGAGACTCTGTCTCAAACAAAACAAAACTTTGTTTCATGTGTAGAATTATTAAAAACATGGACCAGGTATGGTGGTTCATATCTATAATCCCAGGCCAAGGCGGAAGGATTGCTTGAGGCCAGGAATTAAGAGACCAGCTGAGCCACATAGCAAGACCGTATCTCTACACAAAGTTCAAAAATAAGTGGAGTGTGTTGGCATGCACCTTGTAGTCCCAACTAATGAGTAGGTTAAGCCAGGAGATTCAGGAGTTTGAGGTTGCAGTGAGCTAGGATTTGAGCCTAGAAGTTTGAGGTTGCAGTGAGCTATGGTGATACCACTGCACTCTAGCCTGGCCAACAAAGTAAGACACTGTTTCAAAAAAATTAAATTAAATTAAAATGTTATGTAAAATTACCTGTAGGCTGTCAGGTATACATGAAACATAAATTAATTTCATTTTTAAATTTGGGTCCCATCCCCAAGATACCTCATTATATGCATGCAAATATTCCAAAATCTGAAAAAATCCAAATCTGAAAGATTTCTGGTCTTAAGTATTATGGACAAGGGATAATTATTCCTTAGCTCTTCTTTACTCTCTACTGTTAGCATTCATTATATTGTGCAAAGCATTCTTTTAAGCACTTTACAGGTTTTATCTCATTTAATTCTTGTTACCTCTCTGTAATTAACCTCACTTAAATTTGAGGAATCTGGGGCACAGAGAGGTTAAGTTACTTTCCCATGATTACACAGCTAGTTAAGTTTTAGAGCTAGACTGTGAATCTAAATGTGACTTGAATCCCCAAACTTCACTTCTATGCTACACTGCCCCTCATTTCTTTGGTGAAATCAATGCAGTGGACCATAGGGCAGTATTTCCAAGTCCTAGCTGAGGATGAGACTCAGGTGGAGCTTTTTTTAAAATCTAGTTTTAGGCTTGGCGCCTGTGGCTCAAGTGGCTAAGGCGCCAGCCACATACACCTAAGGTGGTGGGTTCAAATCCAGCCTGGGCTCGCCAAAACAACGATGGCTACAACCAAAAAATAGCCAGGCATTGTGGCGGGTGCCTGTGGTCCCAGCTACTTGGGAGGCTGAGGCAGGAGACTTGCTTGAGCCTGGGAGTTAGAGGTTGCTGTGAGCTGTGATGCCACGTCATTCTACCCAGGGGGACAGCTTGAGGCTCTGTCTCAAAAAAAAAATAAAATAAAAAATAAAATCTAGTTTTATTAAAGTAGAATTTACGTGATGTGTACAATTTAGTGATTTTGTTTAGTGAGGTTAGGTAGTTGTGCAGCAATCACCACATTCCAGTTCTAGGACTCAAGCAGTCCTCCCATCTTAGCCACCAAAGTGCCATGAAACTTTTTTAACATGCACAATCTTGAGCCTCACACTAGATTCAGAATTTAAGGGTGTGGTCAGAACTCCATGAGTGATTCTAATTTGCAGCCATGAACTGTCAGTCTGGCCATCGCGGGAAGGACTGATAAAGACAACTGCATTCATTTCACATATCTGGGCTTGCAGAAATCTGCCTTCAGATCTACCCTACCTCATTCCCCACTATTTCCAGGCATCACTGATACAGTCGGGCAAGCAGTCTCAGCATCTGTGGCAGGTCTGGTTCCCCAATCCATAAGTGTAGTGCTGGAATGGGGGGGATTAGGTGCACCAGCCCCCAAACAAGTCATATCCAAGTATAACTCTTGGCTCCGCCAAAACTTACCAGCGTGCTGTTGAGTGGAAGCTTTACTGGTAATATACATAGTCAGTGAACACCCTTTTGTTTTGTTTTGTTTTGTTTTGTTTTGTTTGAGACAGAGTCTCACTCAGTCAGCCAGGGTAGAGTACCTGGCATCATCATATCTCACAGCAACCTCAAACTCTTGGGCTCAGGAGATCCTCTTGCTTCAGTCTCCCAAGTAGCTGGGACTGTAGGTGCCTGCCATGACACCTGGCTAATTTTTCTATTTTTAGTAGAGACAGGGTCTCACTCTTGCTCAGGTTGGTCTCAAACTCCTGAGCTCAAGCTCAACTCCACCTTCGCCTCCTAGAGTGCTAGGATTATAGGCATGAGCCACCACACCTGGCCAATTAACACATATTTTATGTATTATATGTACATACTATATTCTTTTTGTTGTTTTTTGACTAAGTGGGTCTGTGGAATGTATTGTTAAAGAAAGTTAGAGAAAAAAGGTTACAAAGAAAATCATAAGGAAGAGAAAATATATTAAGTGGAAGTGGATTGTTATAATGGCCTTCATCCTCTTTGTCTTCACATTGAGTAGGCTGAGGAGGAGGAGGAAGAGATAGTAGGTGTTTATATTGCTGTGTCGGGTGGTAAAGGTGAAGGAGGCAGAAGTGGAGGCAGGAGAGTCAGGCACACTTAGTGTAACTTTCATTGAAAAAAACCTACATGTAGGGGTGGCTCCTGTGGCTCAAAGGAGTAGGGTGCTGGCCCCGTATGCCGGAGGTGGTGGGTTCAAACCCAGCCCTGGCCAAAAACCAGCCCCCCCCCAAAAGTCCACAGATAAGTGGATCTACACAGTTTAAACAAAGCCTTGTTGTTCAGGGTTCAGCTTATTTATTTCAGACCCAATGTCTTTGCTTATGTTGCTCATCCTACCTGTGTTCTTCCTCCTCTAAGGACCTGCTACATTTTTGAGGGGAACTCAAGTGCCTCTTTTGTTTTCTTCATGAATCTTCTTTTGCCACTGTCTTGTCTTTCCAGGAAGGGTCCAAGCTTTTGTGTCCCTGATTTACTATTGTGCTGTGTATGAGGGGTAGCAGAAGGGAAGTTAATGTTACACACATTTTGTTCCTTGGTACTGGATATAGAACTAGGACTCATCAGAATATATTGTATTATGGTTGCACTACTCCCTAAATTTTCTAAAAATCTCTGAATTGTAGGCTGGGCCTGGTGCTTCAAGCCTGTAATTCTAGCACTCTGGGAGGCTGACTCAGAATGTTTGAGCTCAGGAGTTCGAGACCAGCCTGAGCAAAAGTGAGACTCTCATCTCTACTAAAAACAGAAAATCTAGCCAAGTGTTGTGGTGGGTGCTTATAGTCCCAGCTACTTGGGAAGCTGAGGTAAGAGCATTGCTTGAGCTCAGGAATTTGAGGTTGCTGTGAGCCATGACACAATAGCACTCTACCCAGGGTGACAAAATGAGAGTCTAATAAAATAAATCTTTGAATTGTAGACATTAAAAGGGTAATTTTATAGTGTACAGGTTGTACTTCAATAAAAGTGATGAAAGCTCCACAGGTGAGTCTGATGTTTAGGACATGTTAATTATATATAACATTTGGTTGCTTTGATAGTCATTTAATTTTAATCATCTGGAAGTATATTTTCAAATATATTAAGTAAATATATGCTCTTATCTTTACAGGAATCTTACGGCCCCTGAATATTTTGGCATCTTCAGCCTATCAAAACTGTGCCAGGAATGCCTCTCTTATTTCTACACTGTCCACTGGTCATTTTAGTCATGTTCAGACACCACTTGTTTCCTGTGCTCCCAGTCTTACCTCATCTGCCAGAAACCTAACATGTGGGCATACTGCAACAATCCTTAATAGGTAGAGTATATTTCAGTAAACATGATGCTTGGACAAACTTTCTAAAATATTCATCCTGCAAAGACATCTTAGAAGTAGATATTTGTTGCCTCCCTGCGACTTACTATGTAGACTTTGCCTCATTGAATGGCAGAATATGATTGACATGCATATAGCCACATGCCAACAAGAGGACTACCAAACAGAGTGTATTTCTGATGTTGTGTAAAGTCCTCAAGGATTTTAAAGTCTTGTGGACAGATGGATAAAAAGATCAGGTGATTAAATATAGTAAAAAATATAATAGGATAAATTCTTTCATAGGGATGAGGGGGTAGATTTTAGAAGGCTTGCCAGTTAGTGGTTGCTGTTTATATTTATCTTAGTGTCATGGATCATCTGAAGTAATACTGTATGTTAAAAATCAGCTTCATTTCAGTGGAGCTGCTTTTAATCAGACTGATTACTGAGTTAAAAAAATTTTAAATATATTTTAGAGTGGCCCCCTTGTTTCCAAATGTCCTGAAGCTGCCAGTCAGAACTGTAACATACTTCAGTACACGAAAAGGCAAGAGAAAGACTGTGAAAGCTGTCGTCTATAGGTTTCTTCGACTTCATTCTGGCCTTTGGCTAAGGAGAAAGGTGAGTTTTCACATGAGAGAGCGTCTCACTCCATGGCCCCAGGTCGAGTGCAGTGGAGTCTTCATAGGTCACTGCAACCTCAAACTGCTGGGCTCAAGTGATCTTCCTGCCTCAGCCTACTGAGTAGCTGGGATTACAGACATGTAGCACCACACCCGATATTTTTTCTATTTTGGTAAGAACAGGCTCTTGCTCTTGCTCAGGCTGGTCTTAAACTCCTGACCTCAAGCAATCCTTCCTTAGCCTCCCAGAGTGCTAGGATTACAGGCAGGAGCCACCTCACCTTACCTCCTCAATCTTGCCTATAGTTCTCACAGTGTTGTATAAGAACCAGTTTGATAGGCAGCTTTTCATGTGAGTGAATGCGTGTAAACAAAACATGTAAGCATTCATAAAACAAAATATTCATAAAAGCAAACATCTTCACTGTAGGACAATTTCACCTCAGGTCTTCTGACATGTCTCATACGTTTAGTGATTACCAGAAACCTTTTAAACTCCAAAAGTTTAATAACCTCTTTGGAAGCTATGTTTTAAGCTTCAACTATTATAGCAGCACTGCAAACTTCAGCACATACGTATTCATCACAGTAGACTTCACAGATTTAGTCACATGGCTCAGATTTGGGGACTGAAGAACATTTTAGCCTACTTTGGATTGGGTTCTCAGGTGGTTTAATCTTTATGACAGAACATTCATCACATGTATACTTTTTTTTTTGTAGAGACAGAGCCTCACTTTATTGTCCTTAGTAGAGTGCCATGGCATCACACAGCTTACAGCAACCTTCAACTCCTGGGCTTAGGCAATTCTCTTGCCTCAGCCTCCCGAGTAGCTGGGACTACAGGTGCTCACCACAACGCCCAGCTATTTTTTTTTGTTGTTGCAGTTTGAACCCGCCACCCTCAGTGTATAGAGCCGGCACCCTACCCACTGGAGCCACAGGCACCACCCCATGTATACTTTTTTTAATTTATAAGCTATAATCTGTTGGTACGTATTAGGAACAGTCTCAGAACTCTAATTAATGACTGGCCAGGGATCACAGTCTCTAACGGTGACTCTGAAAATCAGTATTGCTCTGTCCTTTCCCACGTTGTGTCTTGAGCATCAATGTGGGCTTTTTCATTCACATCCTTCTTTAAGGAAACAGAGTAGCTGATGATTAGAAAACAGGTTCCCACCTCTACCCTATTTTGCAAAACCATCTTTGAGTTTTAATAACTATTCATATCCCAATTTCCTTTTACTGCTTGGAAACAAATCTCTCTCTCTCTCTCTCTTTTTTTTTTTTTTCTGTTTCTATTTTTAGTAGAGATGGGGCCTCACTCTTGCTCAGGCTGGTCTGGAACTCCTGAGTTCAAGAAATCCACCCCCTTCAGCCTCCCAGAGTATTAGGATTACAGGCGTGAGCCACTACACCTGGCCAACAAATAATTCTTTACAGATCAACTTTTGATTCCTTGTAAAAATAAAATGGTAAAATTTCCTCACTGTTTGAAAAGTTGGAAGGATTGTCCTCTATTTTATAAAGTCCTAAATTTGTAGACATATGGGTTGATTGGAATTCTTATTACCACATTTCTCCATTGAAACAACATTGTGGTAAATTCTCACACGAGTCAACGAAGTAGAGCTATGGATTCTATCTTTTAATTAGTCTCATTACTGAGTTAAAGTAATGAACTAAAGTTTGAATACTTCTGAGTTTTATTGATTTTGGACCATTGAAAATATTTTTCCCCATTGTTATCACACCAGTTATTTCTAGATTCTCATCTTCCTCTAGGTAAAATGAAATGGTTGGGTTTCTTTGCCTTCCTTTCCATGTCCCTTTTGTTGGGTTCTGGGACCTGATCTCATTGGGACTATAAGCTAGTTGTGAAGATATCTGTTATTTTCTATGTAACATAATATTTTTAATGTGTTTGTAATACTATCTTAACAGGCTGGTTATAAGAAAAAATTATGGAAGAAGAAAGCTGCAAGGAAAAGACGCTTGAGGGAATTTGTGTTCTGCAATAAAACCCAGAGTAAACTCTTAGATAAAATGACAACATCTTTCTGGAAGAGGCGAAACTGGTATGCTGATGATCCTTATCAGAAGTATCATGATCGAACAAACCTGAAAGTATAGATCAGAAGTTTTATAATTTCCCAGTTATTGAATATGTATCTTTGGATAATGATGTCTCTGCAAAAATGAGTAACTATAAAATCTGATGTAAATTGTACCAATTAATATGTAAACATACAGTGCCAACATTAAACTTATGGAAGTTTTTATACTTAGTGGAGCAGACAGTCCCAGATGTGGTCAGGGAAGTTTAACATTGTGCATTTTTAACAAGGGGTAATGGTTTAATTAGTTGTTCCAATGAGGCTGGTTTAGTAACAGGGAGTCTGAAATGAGGACAAACATAAAAAGACTCTAAAGCTACAAGTTCGCTCAGGCAATGTGACACTGTTTTAAGGCTATGTGCCGGGGAACCCAGGTCCACCATATGACCTATGGACATAGACCTATGTCCTACCCAGAAATCACCCCTAGGCCTAAGGAAGAGTAGAAGCCAGGAAGAAAGTGGATCTTCAGGCTCACATGACTCAGTTATTTTTACATTGTTAACCCCATTTTCCCTCATCTTCCGTTTCTAATTTACCACGTTTGCTTATTTACAGTTCCTGCCCCCGCATATTAAATTTAGCTTGTTCTTTGAGGTTCTTTTCTGTATCATGACCCTCAACTCCTGTCTCTAGTCTCTAATTGCCAAGGGACTCCAACTGGGCTAGCTTACCTGTTCATCCTAGATCTCATCGGTGTCATTTTCCAGTGTTGTCAGCTGTTAGGTCAGGAGCCCACCCTGGCCCATTTTGTCTTAGTGAGTTCACACAGAGCAAAAAATGGTCATGTCAACAGTTTTACTTTGGCATGAGCATAGGGCGGCAACACACCTAACATCTAGTATACTTCACTGTGTTCCTAACAGTTCTCATTTGGTTTATTGGCACAAGAATTTTTCATAGAAGAATAAATGAAATAGCCTTTCAGTATGCTCACTTATGAAACAAAAGAGAGTATGCAGGCGAAGACAGACTTTTACCCAAATTTTGAAAGATACGTATTTCTTAAAAATTAGTTTATCCACTTGAGATTTCATATTTTCATTTGTAAGGATAAACTTTTTACAAACTTTTCCAAAAATACACTGTAGAAACCAAGGGAGATGCAAATAACTCAGTCACTTTAGAAATGATGCAAGAGTTAAGTATTGTTTACTTGAAAGGGGCGGGTAAGAGACATTGAGTAAAATTAACTTGAGTGGTTATTGTCTTGGGTAGCGGTTCTCAGCTCTCCCATCAAAATCGTCTGGGAAACAATTTTCAGACAGCAGAGCACTTTGCTTGGTTGAAAACTATTATTAAATAGAATTATGCATGAATTACTGTCTCAAATCCTTTAATACAATAAATAGTTAATGATAATAGGGTGAAGTTCCTCTGTTGTTGGTAGAATAATGTAAAAGATAACCAAACTGAAGTCTGTGGCACTTCAGGCCAGGATTATGAGGGGGATTCCTTAAAACTAGTATTTTTCCTTTATTAAAACGAAAAGGACGTAACAATGGAATCTTCTAAAACCAGAAGGCCAAATGAATGTCTATTTATGGGATTAATAAATAAAGAGCAGACATTTGATTTAAGAACCCAAAATATGGACTGGCATTCTGTCTTAATGGGTTTTTGTTGTTTTGCACTTTTGAGGTGGCTGAAGCTACCTGCTCACAGGACTCCCACATCTTTTCTCACTTGCCTGGCTCCTGCCCTCTGTCACATCTCTGGGAGTGGGATAGAACTGGTGCTTGCAGAAGTTATGGAGGAGGTCGCTTCCTCACAGATTCCATGACTTCTTTAATGCAAATATGGATGACAGGGTCTCTTACACAGGCCTCAGAGCACCTTGGTTTCTCCTCCAGCCCAGGGACAGGAGTGGTAGAGACAAGGACTGGTAACCAGGGCCTCAGCATCCAGAAAGGGATTGAAGTAGGAAGGCCAACAGGCACATATTTAGGGGGAAAGCAATTTCATTCACACAGTTTTTGTTTTGTGGCTAGAAAGGCTTATCAGCATTGATTTTATAGTTCAACAAGACATTTTGTTAAAGACTCTACCTAGGTGACAATCTAGCATATATATATATATATAAAGTATATGTGTAGCTTATTTATGCAAATAATATATAATTTATTGCACACTTAGTGTGTGCCCACTCAGAACAGGGCACATACCTATAAAACGTAATCCTTATAACTTTGCAAAGGAGATATGGTTGTTTATCCCTAGTTTAGATTCAAGGAAACTGAAGCTTAGAGAGGGTTAAATAATTACCCCAAAATTGAGTTACTAAGTCCCAGTACCCCAGTCTAACTCCTTGGTATCTTGTATATTTCCCTCAGTCTCCTAACAAATGAAAATTGGTATCTAAATCAGCAAGTGACTATAATCTAGCAGGTAGCACTAAATACTTCCTTATAACACGGTACCAATTCAGCTTTTAATTTTTATAACTTTGCCTTCCTATCCTTTATGAACTCTTAACATAGTTAATTTCAGTGTGTTGCCATTAGACCTGGCTCAGTAAATGAATGAATGAATTTCCAGCCTCTTTTTTCATCTCTTCCTCCTATCAGTCCTTTGAATCTGCTGCTTTTCCTGCTGCTGCTTTATTCTACAGTTGTGTCAAACACATAGAATATAGGACTATATACAAGCAAAGAAAATGGGCCTGTGTTTAATTTTAATACTTCAAAAAATCCCACTTTTTTTTGGTGGCGTCATAGCTCATAGCAACCTCAATCTCTTAGGCTCAGGTGATCCTCTTGCCTCAGTCTCTAGAGTAGCTGAAACTACAGGCATATACCACCACACCCAGCTTAATATTTCAAATTTTGAGCTTTGTAGTCTTTGTGAAACCAAATAAAGCTTAAGTGTATCTGTTGAGATTTTTTTTCTTTCTTTTTTTCTGGTAGAGACAGAGTCTCACTTTATTGCCCTTGGTAGAGTGCCATGGCATTACACAGCTCACCGCAACCTCCAACTCCTGGGCTTAAGTGGTTCTCTTGCCTCAGCCTCCTGAGTAGCTGGGACTACAGGCGCCTGCCACAATGCCCGGCTATTTTTTCAACGCCAGGGCTGGGTTTGAACCTGCCACCCTCAGCATATGGGCCAGCGCCCTACTCACTGAGCCACAGGTGCCGCCCTATTTGTTTAAATTTTAAAGACAAGGCACCCCTCCCATGATAGTGGCCCTGCACGTGCCCTGCCCTGTTCTCACCCACATAGTACTCTCCTATTTGCAGAAGAAATGCTCAGAGTCAAGTAAAATGATGGACCAAAGGTATATTTGCAGAATTAAAAGTGCCTACCAATGAACTACTCTGTTTTTGTAGCTATCTAGTTTCCACTAATGATCTTTTAAAATGTAAAACAAACAGTGATACTTTCAGGTTTATATTTGTGTGATGAAGTAGTTTTCAAAACACTCATTGAATTTCTTCCCCCAACATACCCTATGTACTGGGCATGGGCCAAGTCACCAGGCTAGTCAGTGGCTGAACATTCAGCTTCTAATCCTTGCTACCTTCCACGTTTTTGAAAAATTATTTCCTCTTTCCTTATAAGCTCAACATTACAAAGATGTGTTTTAAAAGAAAAATGTTAAGACTTTATTCAAGATGTATATCAGGCATTGTAACAAAACAGCAGAACTTCAACCTTTGGAATACTGTAATTTTACATCCCTTTGATGCACAGTTCAGTATCACTATTTTATTACAGATCGTTCTATAGGGACTACAGAAATGAACTAGAGGAAATGTGCACAGTCACAATTCAGAACATCAGCACTTTGTATGCTGTTAGAGGATGAGCGCATCCTTTGCCATTTCAAATACTGTGCTGGGTAAAGAACTAGGAAGGTTTGATGATGGTCACGGTTGACAAGCACTCTTATCACAAACACATGGACAGTCTACCACGGAGAGCACATATTTCAAGGGCCCGTGAAGTGAGCAAGCTATTCACACAAAGCCAGGTGGGATTATGATTAAACTCTTCAGTTTATAAGCACAAGACCACATCTCACCTTCTTAGAAACAGAATGGGTGCTTGATGGCAGGTAACTAAAAATTGTGACATAAAAATTACAGACTTTTGAGCTAGCATTTTGTAAACAGCCTGTGTCTGTAAAGAAGCAAATTAAAAACATTCACTTGTATCCTCTAGACAGAACACCACACAACTACACGTACATTTATAAGTATTCACATTTTTTATCAGTTCATACACAAATGTACAGCTTGTCAGATAAGTAAACACATTTTGCCAGAAGTATGACAGCTGCTCGCAGTTGTACAGTGAGTGTCTTTTAAGAGAGAAACCAACTCCCTAATCAACACTTGAAGGAAAAATAGTTACATTTACATTAAGACAGCATTTGGATACCTTTATATTTTTAAATCTTGAATGAGAAGTAATACAGCATGTCTGAGAGTAGAGTGCTTCAAACATTTTTTGGCATAGTTGAGTGCAAACTTGATAGCCTGTACTTGTTCCTTGTTATAACTTCTGTTATAAAATGATGAGAACATAGGTGTTCACAATAGGATTTTAAACTCTGCTGCTAAAGGCATATATTATTTTGGCAAAAAGTTGCTAAGAAGCTCCTTAAGCTTTTTTGCATTTGTTTCTGAGAATTCTGGGTACCTCCAACTAACAGGTAAATACATTTTTAAAAGTCTATTATTCCTCTCTCTGGAACTATTCAATGACCTTGAAGAAAACAGATTTTCTGTCTTCCTTCACAGGTTTGGGAATTGGGGGGTGAGGGGCACAGAGTGAGCAGACAGCCTCCATTTGCTGTGTCAACCACAGGTTTGCTTTTAGGTTTACTTTCCTATATCCTGTAAATTACAAAATCATCTTCAGAGGAACTGTGGGAGGAAAGGATTTCAATATGCATAACTGGCAACAATCAACTTCAAATAAAACACTCTCTGAGGCGGCTAAGACCCAGCTAATGTGTTATTAGCAAAGGCCTCTGATGATACGTACTATGTGTAGGTCAGTAATGAAAGTTTGAAATTGGGCCATACTTTGTTGACAGTAAGTTCTGTGTGGTATATGACACTAATTCTCTAGTCCTCGGGGCGTATCTACAAACAAACACGATCCAAATATTATGAGTAACTGGGTTGTGACCACTGCATGCATTACACTGAAAGAAAACACCAACTCTAAGCACAAATACACTATTCCTACATTTCAACTCTCAGAGGGGAGAATAGCTAGTTCAGACCACAGTGCCATTTAAACCAGATTCTTTTTTTTTTTTCTTTTTGAGACAGAGTCTCACTTTGTCACTCCCAAGAGAGTGCGGTGGTATCACAGCAACCTCAAACTCTTGGGCTCAAGCGATTCTCTTGCCTCAGCCTCCCAAGTAGCTGGGACTATAGGCACCTACCACAATGCCAGGTTATTTTTAGAAACAAGATCTCGCTTGGGCTCAGGCTGGTCTTGAACTCATGAGCTCAGGCAATCCATCTGTCTCAGCCTCCCAGAGTGTGACGATTACATGCTTGAGCCACTGTGCCTGGTGTTAAACCAGATTATTTTTAAATAAAATTATCCACCTAAGTAGGGAGACCCCTCAGACAGTGCTTTATTCCCCTACTGAGCAATCCAGGCTTGTGTAAGACACCTGATGGGACCTAGTGTGCCGATGGGTATGAGTCTGCCCCCCTTCATGTTCTGTACAGGTCAGGAAGGGAACAGAAGGTATGAGCTGCAGCTGCCCATGGATCTGAGCAAATCTTATCCCAACCTCTAGAACCCACCATTTTGATTGTTGCCTAGGTCTCAGATGTATTTCATGGCACATCTGAAACAGTACAGTTCTTGGTTTTTTGTGTTTGTTTTGTTTGCTTTTGCTTAGTATTCTCTAAAACACAGTGCTCAGATTGTGGGTTCTTCTACCTGGGGAAATTAGTCACAGCACTAGTGAAGGAGAAACTATTTGCCAAGCACTTCTGAAACACAGAATTATTCCTCCAACAGCTCTGCAAGTCCCTATCCCCAAGAATTTCGACTAAGGATGAGCCACCTGCCTATAGCCGGAGGCTCCTAATCCTGAATCAAAAGAGGAAGTGAGCTTCCTGTGACTTATCCTAGGATGTTTCCCCTGACCTGCCATCACATGCAGCTACAATATTGTCTGTCTGTATTCCTAACTTCTGTTTGTTTTTTTTCTACTAACCTATCTAAAGAACATAGGGCATCTTCCAGCAGGAAAAGGGATGTGTTACTGGAGTGGTGTTTGGAAGCTTTGTAAGCACATCTGAGACATTCTCTAGAATCAAAATATTTTTCTATATTTCTAGTTTTGGAGTTTTTCTTACATATCAGAACCTCTGACAGCCCTTGCAAGTCCATTATATGAAGCCAAAGCCATAAATATGTACAACATAGTTCAAAGTATTAGTACCAAGAACAAAAAAAAGTTTTTAAAAATTGCTTTGTTTGCATTTACAGGACTAAAAACTAATTATGCAACAGATAAATTACAAATATACATCTCAGCAGCATAAGGGTGATTCTTTTGTATTTCTAAAAACACACTGCTGTCTATCATGACAATCCAATTGAGGAAAATCACTAACTTCAGAAGACTTAAAGGGCACCCCCCCACTACTTTTCTCTTTAGCCTCTCCCCAGCAAAATAAAAGGGAAAAATTATTAAAAGTGAAGGGGAGAGAGAAAAGGCCATGTCTGTGAGGCTGCACACTCAAAGCACACCCAGCTTGTGGATTTCTGTGTTATTAGTGAATAGCTCTTTAAGGCAGAGAAGAAACATTCTGTGGATCTGGTGCTGTTGGCTCATCTCACTCACGTGGTTTCAGTGGTCGAGGATGAGGTACTTTTCTTCCTGAAACGATATCGAGGGATTCTAGGCGGTGCCTGGTAGAGAAAACAGAAAAGCATCCCTCAGTTTGGCATAAATATGGAGCCTTTGGAGGACAACATTTGGAAGGGTTTGTGTTGAGATACTTAGTTCCTTTGGCCAAACGTGTGTGAGGCAGCTGGCTGGGGCTGGGGTCTTCCTGAGTCTTCACAACAGGAATCAAACACCAGACATGTCCCTCACAGCCCATAAAGCTAAGCCCATTGAAAAGGCTAACACCTCCTTCTTGTCTTCCTATTCTCCTAAAGCTCAAGATCTCCTGAGGGAATAGTTGTACCGAATGACACATCTTTCATATTTTTGCCCTGGGAGCAAAATGATCTTAACAAATGACTCAGCAGAGAGAAACGCCTCCGCATCTCTTCCCTTGCTTTTGTGATTTCTTTGGTAACTGGTCTGTTTCTTGGTATGTGCTTCAAATTTCCATCATGAAATTTCCAGTGCCCTTTCTGGATGCACAGCAAACCACCATAAAGGCACAATGCCTTTAGTGTCCCTTACCTGAAATGCTTAGAACCAAGTGTTTCAGATTATGCATCATGTGTATACACATACCAACTGAGTGCCCTAATCTGAAAATCTGAAATCCAAAATGCTCTAGTGAGCATTTCCTTTGATTATCATGTCGGCGCTCAAAAAGTTATAGATTTGGGGGTTACAGATATGCAACATGTATATAGGATTCCTCCTCATTTTTTCCACAAATGACTCCTACTCTCAACCCCTATCTCTGTCTACTTCTCTACACACAGAGAACTTCCTCTACACTGTGTCCTTTCATACCTCTTCCTTCCAACTGGAAGCCCTCTCTCCTCTCTCGTGTGTATTTCTAGTCCTCTCAAGGACCGTGCTTAAAATCACTTCTGTAAAGTTTTCCCTAATCCCCTCTCGATACTGCCCAGCCACATAACCGGCACCATCACCTCTTGGCTTCTCATCTTGTTTTGTGAGTGCCCCTCAGCAGAGGGCTTTGCATCCAGAGATGGGATGTGAGTTCTCTGCTTACTGTCTCGCAGACTGGGAGCTTCCTAAGGGCCGGCCCATGTCACATTCACCACTATTTCTTCATGTCTGGCTCAGTGCAGTCACAGTGAAGGGAGGGAGTGAATGAACTAGAGAACAAGATTTGGGCCCTTACACTGAGTCCCTGTGCCATAATCTCGCCACTAGGAGATGTTTACTGCCATCTCTGGACACAAACTGAAAGGGGCAGCGGTGTAATCTACCTTTTTAGTAACCTGCCTCTTGGCACGGTGGTTAACAATAAATAATAAAACAGTTTGTGCAGCTTCAAAAAACCAAATAGCACAGGGCCCTGGGCCCTAGAATACTTTACGCTGGGCTCCTGTCCCCAGCATGAGGCTGCCCAGGCCATAATGCCCAGAGTGAACTTGAGCAGTGTCTAAGCTCAGAACATCTTTGCCCAAACCCTTTTAATTGCAAAATTAACCCACATGTGCCTCGCCTTGGAAGGAAATCTGATGAACTCCTGCCACCCTAATGGGAACAGGAATGCTAGCCCACATGCAGGGGAACATTTAGTGCATCCCATCCGTGTCTCCCAGGGCTCTCCATGGAAAGGGGACTCCCCACTTTCCTTAGATGGCTTCTCAGGCCACAGGACTCAGTGGATGAGGACTAGGAAAGGAGACCTTGGAGGGGAAAAAGGCAGACTGTGGGGGGCCCCAATTCTGTGTGCTCTGCACCTGGCGGCTCCGGGCCCACATCGCAGAACAAAGACCAGGCTCAGTCTTCCTGCTGCCAGAACTCCTTCACATCTACACTTGTTAATAGTACATATGTCAAATATATTGTTTTGGGTAACTTTAAAGGGCTATACCCCTTTAATAACATTTTATGCATAGCTACTTTGTACCCGGCACTATGCTGTGTCTTGGAGATACAGCTATTAATAGATTTTATTTATAAAAACTTGTCAGACTACACATTCTGAGGTTTTTCTTCCCCCTAAACACTCATTTGGGTTGCTTTTCACTTGCAAATCACCTTAGGCTAGGATTTATTAATATTTGGGGGGAAAAAATCCCAACCACAATAAAGTCCATAAATTAAGCCCTAAACACTTTACCACCTCTCTTACTTCTACATAAAATTAGTAGGGTCTTTCTTCCCCTCTTAGCAAGTGCTGGAGTGACCTGTCCTGCTTGTTTGAGGGAGAGCTTTACATCCTAGGGACTCAGGAGACACCGGGTGCCCCAAGAGATGCTGCTCCCAGGACCCCCAGATCTCCAAGACAAACACTGCTCCAACCCACAGCCCCAGACACCGTGTACCTCCAGGGGCAAATCCGTCCTCCGAGGTGCCTTATACTTGTACATGAAATCCAGCAGGTCTTCCTCCTCCTCGTCAGAAAACGCCAATGGCTTTTGGACCTGGTGGGGCTCCCATGCCTTCATACCACCCTCATTCACATCTCCCTCAACCACTTAATGTCCATTACAATCTACGCAGGGGAGACAAAGTACAGCAAGGAGGGATCAGTGTTGAAAGGAGCAAGGAAGGGCAAGGTTAGGCACACAGCACGACAAACCAGGCCTGTTAGGACAGCCAAGGCCCCTGTGTCTCAGGAAGCACTGATAATCTTTGGGGCCTCCCTGCAGAGGGTCTGGGTTTGTGACAGCTCAACTGCGAGGTACTTTGTAAGGCACTGTGCATAGGAACAACCACAGCCTCAGAATTTACTGAAGCCTGCCACGGTGGGTCAGAGGATGGGGCTCTGGGGCAGCTGCTTCTCTGTAAGAACAAAGAAGCTGCCTTAACTGAGACATGTCAGACCCTGTGATGTAGACCTGAGATTCCATACCTGAAGAATGCTCAAATCCTTAGGGAAACAATCTCTAGAGAGGATGGGGCAGTGATTTCAAGGTGGGAAGCATAATCTCTACCTTATACATACAAGTGTTGTTGACAGTGCACAATACTTGCATATGCAACTCCAAGCATGCTTACAGGATGGGAAATGTCAGGAAACCTTAAGGGATAACCTTAAGGAAAGACAGCTAAGTGGATTTTTCATCTCTAAGACTTAGTCCTAGAGAAACAGAGAAGCTAATGGCAGGAGAAACTGATGGTATAGCCTTTGCCAAAAAATGACAGTATGATTCCTATTTTAGCCTGCATTGAATACGTCCACAAGAAAAGCTCCAGAATTAATTCATCTCACTGAATGCATAGTATTTTTAAAATATTAAACACTAATGCATATTCCATGTCATCTGGCCAGGTGGTACCATCTTGGTTGAGATGGAAAATATTTTCTGCTTGTACCTGGATTTCTCTCTATCACACACACACACAGTTTTCTATGATTTATATGTTGTTTTTACCTAGAATCAGAATGCAGGACTAGGAGGACAAGTCATTTGCTCCAATGACCCTTAGGTCTGTAGACAGAAACTAGGACTCTTCTTGGGACACTCTTGATACTGCTCCTAAGAACATATTCAGCTACAAAATGTGCTCTCTATATCAACAGTGGACTTGCTAGAGTATAATAGCACCACATTTGGAGTAAACTTACAACTGAACCCTTATTTTTTCTTTTTTTGAGACAGAGTCTCGCTTTATTGCCCTGGGCAGAGTGCTGTGGGATCATAGCTCACAGCAACCACAAACTCCTGTACTCACACTATTCTCTTGCCTCAGCCTGCCCAGTATTTGTGACTATAGGCAACTGCCACAACCCCCAACTATTTTTAGAGATGGGATCTCGCTCCTGTTCAGGCTGATCTTAAACCCATGAGCCAAGGCAATTTGCCTGCCTCAGCTCACAACAACCTCAAACTCTTGGGCTCACGCAATTCTTTTACCTCAGCCTCCTGAGTAGCCTTGACTACAGGCACCCGCTACAATGCCTGGCTATTTTTAGAGATGGGGGGAGTCTTGCTCTTTCTCAGGTTGGTCTGGAACCCATGAGCTCAAGTGATCCACCCGCTGTGGCCTCCCAGAGTGCTGGGATTACAGGCGTGAGCCACCCCACCAGGCCCCTGAACCCTAATCCTGAGCAGTTTTGCTAGTTACTAACGCTATACTCTGAAATAGCCAGCAGGGGGCAGCATGACAACATGGTTGCCTTAACCAAGCCCCAAAACTGAATTGTAGGTTGGGGCGGGATCCTCTCAGACTGGGCCTTAAAAAGGGCCTGAGATCATTAACCTTCTTTTGATTTTTTAACTCTGTGCTTCCCCAAGCATATTTATTCTCAGTTTGGGTTGTTCTCTGGTCGCTTCCTTTACCCAATTTAGTTGCGCCCTTAGGATCCTGCAAAACCTGGAGAGACTCTCCCTGAAAATTCTGGCCCTCCCTACTCTGACCCCAACAGTGCTTGGAATCTCTACCACACAACTTGTGCTATGTGCCCTTGGCCCAAAAGAAAGTGTCCTGAGGTCGTGGGGCCATGGCTGATCCTCCCTCAGTCTCTCCGAGGCCCTGACCCAGGGCTGGGTACACAGCGGCCACTCATCAAACTAGGGGAAATCCTGACGTTATCCCAGATAGCTCAGCTCTCACTTCAAGTCAGAGATGGACTTCACATCAACCAGAAAGTTCCTATGGACAGATTCCTCCAGCTGAATAGGAGGAATAAAAGACCAAGAGCCCTTATACCAAGGCAGAAACTGCCAGCTCCACCTGAGCAGGAAACCTGCATCCTAGAAGTAGGGTGGGAATTGGTTCCAGTCTGTGACTCTGTACATGCTGCCCCTCTAAACCCGGGTCCAGACCTTTTCCTGTACTGGTTGCTATGAGCTTCAGAAGGCAGCTCAGAGTCACCATGAGATCCTTGGGCATCTAACAATCCAACCCACTCAGTCTGGATTCCCTGAGGCTGAGCAATGAACTCACACATCACCAAGATCATCACCATCATCACAACCTCAGGACTAAAGCCCAAATGGCTTCGTGTGTGTTCTCCACTATATCCTTGAGCGAGGATTACAGGGTAGAAAAGAAATGACCTGCTGGCCCACTGGGAGTG